TTTTTTAAAAAAAAAATAAAAAATTTTGGGGGGGGGGGGGTTTTAAAAAAATTTTAAAAAAATTTTTTTAAAAAAAAATTTTAAAAAAAAAAAAAAAAAAGGGGGGGTAAAAATTGGGGGGTTTTCCTTTTTGGGAAAAAAATTTAAATTAAAAAAAAAAAAAAAAAATTTTTTTTATTAATGGGAAAAAAAAAAAAAAATTTTTTAAAAAAAAAAAAAAAAAAAAAAAAAAAAAAAAAAAAAAAATAATTATAATTTTAAATTTATTTAATTAAAAATATTTTAAAAAGGAAATATTTTAAATTCGATATTGAATAAAAAGACTTCGAAAAGTCTATACTAATTTAACATGAAATCCATATAAAACTAATTGAAATTTATATATCTAGAATGACATAGTAAATTTTAAATTAAAAAAAAAATTAAAAAAATAAAAAAAAATAAAAAGACTCGTTTGCTTTTTTTATGTGTGAAAATTTTAAATTAAATGTGGGTATAATTTCATTATTTAAAACCAAAATTAAGATATTTAAATTTTACTTAAATATTCATTTTATATTAATTTTAATTTATATTACTTTTTTTTCCGCTATTGCACTATAAGATGCTATAAAAAAATAAAATAAAAATAAAAATAAAAATAAAAAAATTTTTTTTTTTTTTAATTTTTTTTCCCTTTTTTTTTAAAGAGAGAAACCTTTTTTTTTTTTTTTTTTTTTTTTTTTTTCTAAAATTTTTTAGTTTTTTTTTATTCAAAAATTAAAAATAATTATATATCTTTGTATAAATATTCAAAAACTAGTATTTATATATTTTTGTTTTTTTATTTTTTTTTATTTTTTTATTTTTTTTTTGATGTTGGGTTTATAAAATTTTAATTATTTAAAAAAAAAATAAAAAAAATAAAAAAATAAAAAAAAAATTTAGTTTTTTTTATTTATTTTTTTATATATATATTTTTTATGTATATATTTTATAGATAAAATTAAATTAGCAAATATAGCATAAACAATACACAAAAAATAAAAATAGAAATAAAAATTAAAATAACATTTTATGTAGTTTACACCAAACATATTAATATAATTACATAATATTTCTAATACCAAGATAATAATAATAATAATAGTTTTATAATAAATAATTAAATACATTTAAATAATTCATTTATAATAAACAATTTCATATATATAAAAATAACGGGTTTTAAATAATTTAATAATAATAATAATAAATATAGAATGAAAAGAATACAAGCCACACCATTTCGAAAGTGGTGTTTTCTAATAGGCATTAATATATTAACATTAATACTATTAACAATATCGACCCAAAATATATTTTTAGATATAGACGAAAATACTTGTACTATGACATTTATGCTACCAAATTATTATTTAGTACCAACAAATCATTCAATATATCAACTTTATTATTATAGAGAAGGAAGAAACTATGATAAGCTTTCACCATATTCGACTTATTCAATAAACGATGTAGGTTTTGATTTTATTTATACATTAATAATATGTGTGTTATCATAATACTAATAACTATACAGATAAATAAAAAATTTACAGGTATTCCTGTATTATTTATACCAGGTAACAGTGGTAGCTATAAACAAATTCGTTCAGTTGGAGCAGAGGCATATCACCATATTAGAGGAGGTTCATCAAATTCTTTTAACATACAGAATCCAAATAAAAAAAGGAAAGTGCCACCATCAGATTATTATAACGAATTAGATATATTTACATTAAATTTTGAGGAAGAATTATCAGCTTTAGGTGGTGATGTCATGTATTCAGAAACGGAATATGTTAATGATTGTATTAGTTCAATTTTAAAATTGTATCAAGATAATCATGAATTAAAAGATAAACCAACTGTAAATATCAAAATAGGAAACCATCATTTAGTTTTAGTAAAGAATTAACAAAATTTTTTATTTTTTTTATTTAGAGTGTCATTTTAATTGGTCATAGTATGGGAGGTGTTGTAGCAAGAATGACAGTTCTATTACCCAATCATGTTTATGGTTCAGTTACAACAATTATTACATTAAATTCATCACACAGAAATGCACCAGTTTATACACATCCATCAACTGAAGAGTTTTATATAGAGTTAAATAAGCATTGGAGTAAACAAATTCAACCAAAACACTACAAATATAATAAAAAAGGAGAATTAACTCATTTACCATCAAGTAAGTTTATATTTTTCTTTTTTTTTAAACTTTTTAAATAAAGTAAGTACTAACTAATGATCACCTATTTTTAGTTTATGATGATATTATAGTTGTTTCAATTGCAGGTGGTCATAGAGATACATTAATTAGATCAGAATTAACATCATTGGATGGATTGGTTCACCCAGAAAGATCATTTTCAGTCATTACAACTTCAGTACCAGATGTTTTGTTTGAAACAGATCATCAAAGTATTCTTTGGTGCAACGAAGTAGTTTCATCAATTGTAGAAAGTTTATTATTATTAGCCTCTAAAGAAACCAAACAAAATTCATATCCAGCCCACGAGCGTTTATTAATTGTTAAAAGTGTTTTACATAGTCATGTACCAGAGGTTTTAGGTATTACCAAATTCCAAGATCAACCAGAGTTTTTAAAACAAAATCAACTTCAAACTCGTTATGATATTGATACATTAACCGAAATTGCCAAAAAGAAATCTTTTGAATCATACTCAATGCTTGCATTGGTTCACAAATCTGGTTTGTCATATAAATCAAATCCAAGAGTTAGAATAACAACTTTACAGTCAGAGCCCTCATTATTTTATTTTCATTTTAAAATTTCTGATTGGTAGGTAAAAAAAAAAAAAAAATGTTTCCCATAGTTTTATTAACAATTTTTTTTTTTATTTTATCACAGGATTGGAGAATCAAATTATTTTTCATTAAGCTCAAGTTTAGCACAGGGTGATTTTTCAGCTATATTATACTCAAAAGATTTTGAAAAAGTTCAAGATGTTACATTTAATTCATTTTCATACCCACCATTACATCCATTATCAAAAGGTAAAAGAGACGAAAAACCAATGGTTGAACCACCATCAACTCAATTAATTTTAACTCACGACGATATGAAAAACTATCATTCACTTTTAATTGCTTTTCCAAAATCTGTTAGGGCCAGTAGTTTTTTCGCAGTTGCTCAGTTTTATAATAGCGCAGCATCTAATATTATAATTCCATCAGTCTCATTCTTTGGTGAACATAAATTTACTTTACCAATAGGTCACCCAATTATAATGAATTTCACTTTACCCAAGTATACAAATAAATTCCCAATTAAAGCCACCCTTGCTACCAAATATTTAGATTTTGATAATATTACTCCACTTAAAGAAGATGATGTCGATTCATCAAAATACTCAAATCTTGTAATCAATAATTTAAAGCCATTAGAATCAGAGTATCCATTCTCAATGGATTTTGGACCTAGCGTTGAGGATTTCGATATCAGATTGGCATTCTCAAAAAGAAAATTTGTTGATAAAAGTGCGGTCATACAAAACAATTATCCATTCTTTCTCCCAATGTCCTATCAATTTATTCCACAACTAATGGAGGAGGGAAAATTTGTAACCAACTGTACTTTAACTAGAGTCAAGTTCCATCAATCAACAAAAGCTCAATTATCTCATAAATTTAAAAAAATTGAAAAATCATCAACTACCCATGTTAAATTATTAGACCCAATTCAAGATAATGAAAAAAATCAACAAATAATATCAAAGCAATATAGTAAAGAGATTGAACAAACTCAAGCAATGGATTTTTCTTCTTATAATCAACAAACAGCAACTCAAAAACTATCTTCAGAAGTTAAATTTAAAAACAAATTATTACATATTCAAGATGATCCAGAAGAAGGACAAGATATTTTATCATTCAGTAATAATATTAATAATAATAACAATAATAACAATAATAATAATGATAACGACAATGATAATAATGTTGATGTTGATAGTAGCAGTATTTATACAATTGAAGGTAAACAAGAAATTGATATTAATAACCCACATTTATTAATGATGTTAGATCCATTTTATTCATACGAAATTACCATCACCTATGACTTATTTGGAAGTATCGGCACATTAATTTTCTCTTATGCAATTTCAATTATTCCATGTTCATTCGGTCTTTTCCTTTGGGTATTTTCTGCTCAGTTAAATAATATTATAAGAAATGACAAATATCCAAGTTTATTAACAACTTTGAGAGATCAATCAATTCGATTAGTACCATATTTAGTATATTTACCAATTGTAATCTGTATCATTTTTTCAATGTTTGGTATCACATTCCCTACTTTATATGGTCAAACTTTTCCAGATCCATTCATCAACTCATTTATGGTCGAAAGAATACCACCATTTTGGTCAATTCCAATATTATTTATTACATCAGTTTGTATTTTAACAATTTTAATTTTAGTTACAAATCTTTTATTCTCTTTTGGTGCGTCATGTAATAAAATAACTTCAAAATTTTCAAATATATTAAATACCAATACGAATAATAGTAGCATTAACAATAACAATAATAATAATAATAATAATATTAATAATAATAGTATTAATAATAACAATAATATTAACAATAATATTAATAATAATAATAATAATATTAATAATCTTTTACCAATTACACCAATTGGTAATAATTTAGAAAATAATATTAATAACGATAGCTTAAACATTGATAATAATATTAATATAAATATCGATAATTGTATTGATTCCAATGTTATCATTGATAAAAACGACAATAATAATACCAATAATAGTGGTGTTATCAATAGCGAATTTAATAATAGAAATAATAGTTTATTAAAAACTAATAATAATAACTTAAATAATAATAATCTAAATAATAACAATAGTTTAACTAATAATAATATTAACAATATTAATAACAACAACAATTTAAATAATTTTAATAATGAACCAATAGTAATTAGTAACAGATGTATAACGAGTCCAACTACATCAGGATTATATTTAGGTAGTTCATCATCCTCAACACCAAAATTAAATATTCGTAATTTACAATTTTCCTCTTCAAAATGGGTAGTCATTGGAGGTATAATGATTATTATCCTCCATTCAGCTTTAGGTTTAGTCGCATTTTTATTATTTTTATTATTCTCTTCAAGTAAACAATTAAACAATAGTAATAATAATAACAATAGCAGTAATAATAACAATAATAATAATAATGGCACCGTTAATAATACAACTTCTACATCTTCAATGTCACCATTATTAATTTCAAGTATGGCAAATAGTGTAATTAACAGTGGAGGCGGTGTAAATAGTATCAATACTATTAGCAAAAAGAAGTTAAATGGTAGCTCTTCCAATAGCTCTTTATCAAACCACAACTATTTATCAAATACTAAAATTCAAACTTCAAGAAGAGAATTATATTACAGACAAAGCATTTTTTTAATGTATATCTTTTCTTCGTTTATTATGGCACCAAACCTTATTGTATGGATCAAACATTTATCCTTTGAATGGAAAATTCTAGATTCTTATGAATTATTTATAATTTTAGCAATTACCCATATTTTCTTATCAACAATCGAATTAAATTTAAATAATCTTATTATTTTAAGGTAAGTTTTAAATTTATATGTATTTTTTATTTTTATCGATTATTAATACTAATATTATTTATTTTTTATAGATTTATTCTTATCATCATATCGATTTTGGTTCCAATTTATTGTATTCTCTTTGTTTATAGAATGCTTTATTTCAATTTAATATTATCATTTGTTTTCATCGTATGTCATATTTGGAGTAGATTAAAAGAAAAAATTGTTTAAATTCATATTTTTCATTTTAATTTAAAAAAATAAATAAATTATTAAAACTTTTCTAATTTTTAGATTAAAAAGTTTAATTAGCTTTTTAAAAGTTAAACTATATTTCAAAAAAAAAAAAAAAAAAAAAATTATAGTTTTTAAAAAATATATTTTATTATAAAAAATTAATTGGTTTGTGTGATATTAGATAAACCACTAAATAATTCTAAAATTGAACTTGCTAATTCTCTTAAAGTTGGATTATTAACATTTTGTAAAGTTTTTAATATTTGAACGGGTATTTTGGTAGTAATTGAAATTCTGGCGCTATCAAATGGAATGAAATCATTTAAAGTTTTGAGGACATAAAGAATTAAACTTTCGCTTGATGCATTATTTAAAATATTTACAAGGTGACCAACGATATCATATTTTTCGACTAACTCATCAATGTATTTTGAATTATTAAAATGTCTGTTGATGGTGAGGAGAGCTTGGTGTTGAATGGTTTCGTTTGGATATAATATACAGTTAACTAAATTTTTGAGACTATCTTTTTGGATAAAACAGGCAAGACTTTGTTCTAAAAATATTAAATTATAGATGGCTGATAAACTATTTAATAAAATATTTGGATTATCTGATTTGTTGAATTGATTTAATACTTTTTCTAAACCCCCATTGTTATAAATTTCTAATCTATTTAATGATGATAAGGCTAATAAAGAGATTGTACGTAAAGCAAAACAGATTTGATCTTGATTTTTAGAGTCTATAAATCTTGCAACGGTATTAACAAGTTTAGAGTTTCTAATGGCATGTTTACCTTCTTCTGATAATGCTAATGTATAAATTAAACTGAGTGATAATTTATTAAGCTCTTCCTTTTCTTCATTAGAACCTATATATGAAATAATATTTGGTTTGTCGGTGGCAGTGGCTGATGGTTTTTCTTGAATATCTAAAATTGAAACACTTGATAAACTATCATCAAGAGAAATTAATGTTTCAGGTGGTGGTGTCATTAAACTACCCAATTGTTTCAAGAAATCATTCTTTAATAAGGCTGATCTTACTGAGGCATTATGAGTGAGATAGGTAATAATTGAAAGTGTTTTGAAAAGTAAAGTTGTATAACATGTTATTTCTTCTTGAGTTGGTGGCTTTTCACTTTCGATAACATTGGTTAATAAGGAAACAATGGTTGAGATACCCTTACTCTTTTCTACCATTTCTGGGAATGTTGGATCGTCTGATAATAATTCTAATAACTCTAAAATTTGAAGTTTTAATCTTATATCTGATGTAATTAAAACTGAATTTGCATCACCACCACTATTTTTAGCTAATGGTTGACCTAAAACTGAAATAATTGAAACTGAATCTTCATTTTTTACATTAACGGCATCTAAAATATCAGATCTTGATGGATGGTAGAGCTTAGCCAAGTTTGTAAGGGTGATTGATGATGAAATTTTAGTATTAATATCACTATTATTAGATAATAATGGAACCAAACAAAAGATAGCACCTTGTTCACATATAAATTTAGCGGTATTTGCATCAGTAATAAGAGCCAATGTTTTACAGGCAACTGCTTGGTAATTGTCATTATTTGAAAGTAACATACAAGAGATAATTTGAGAAATTATTTGATTATCTTCACAAATGCGAGCTCTACATTGAGCATTAGAGGCAAGATTAAATACTGTTTCGCAAGCATAGAGTTTGGTATCAATTGAAATTTTATTGTTCATATAGCTTTCTGAAAGTATCATCTCTTCTAATGTTTTAAGACCCCCTAAGTTTACAATTATTTCACAGAGTTCGTCCTCTAATGAAAGACCAAGAACGGTAACCAATGAAGCACATGCAACATCGATATTTTCTGATGACATTGCTTTTAAAAGTAATGGAAGGCCACCATTTTCTACAACTCTGGCTCTACCTGGACCATCGACTACAATTTGGGAAAGAGCACCAGCAGCACTGATAGCTAATGAATAGTTATTGGATGAAAGTAAGGAAACAAGCCCTGGAATACCAGCTTTGGATGTAAATGTTTCCCAAATACTTGAATTGTTTGAACTAGTTTCAAAGAGTGTTGAAATTAATTGAATAGCTAATTTTTTTACTGGCTCTGGTGTAGATGGAGATATAACAAGCTCGGATATTTGAGTAACAGCATTAGTTGATAAGAGATAACCACCACAATCTTGACTTTGTGAAAGTTGAACTAAAATATATAATGAGTTGGTGAGAATTGATTCATTCTTTGAGAATAATAAATCTGAGAGACTGTTAAGAATACCAGAGAAAATCATGGTTTCTCTAATTTCGGGGGTTGTAGATTTTGAAATAATCTTTAAGGTATTGAGAGTATATTCTTGAAGATAAGAGTTTTTAATGGCCAACATTGGAATTAATGAAAGAATGATACCAGAATCAATAACTTTACGAATAAGATCATTTGCGTTTTCTTTAATAAGATTTGAAAGGATTAATACTGAATAAACTTGTGATTGGATAATAAAGCTACTGTTATTTGAATCATTTTGTGTTGGAGTTTGTGATGGAATACTAGAAAAAAGATATTCAATAATTGATTGGACAATATCGGTACCCAAGAGAATTGCTCTATATTGGTCACTTTGTTGAGAGAAACCAGCCAATACTTCGAGAATGCATACGAGTGTTTTGGTGTCGCTTGTGTAGGTATTGAATGAATTTATCAAGTGTGGGAGACAACCACATTTATAAGCCAAGTCACGATTTGAGGCATTTTCTCTGCAAAGCTCTGCCAATGAAAAGATTGCACATTTCTTTAATTCTGGATTAGAGTTGGAAAGCATTTCGACGATCTTTTGGATTGATGTACCCTCTGAAATTGCAATTTTGATATCTGGTGAATGAGTAGCTAACTTTTGAATTAATTTAAGGGTATTTGCTTTAATAAGAGTTTGATTTGATGAAAGAAGAGCTTGGGCATAAGTAAGACCACCTTCACTAATTACTAAAATAGCACAAGTTTCATCCTCACAAAGATTACAAAGCGATTCTGAGGCAACCTCTTTAATTTGATCGTCACAAGTTGGGTTCATCAATGATACCAATGTTTTAACACCATTTCCACCTTCGAAATGAACAAATTCACGGATAATATTCTTTGAATAAGAAAGAATTGACAAAAGTTTGACTGCTTGATATTGAGTGTTTTTATACTCTTGAATTTTTTTATCAGTTTCATCTGTGGCATTTGAGGAGTTTGGTTGGGTAGCCTCAATGACGTCAGAATATGGAACTGTATTTAATTTACCTACAGTATTAACAGTTGGAGGAGTAGTTTCTGGTTTTGGTAGATTTTGTGGTGGTTTTGGAGCTGGAGCAGTAATGATATCAATTAAGACAGTAAGACCACCAACCTCGAAAATATTATTGCAAATAGACTCGTTGTTTTTAGCCAATCCAGTTAAAATCTTTAATGCGCCAATTGGATTTTTTGATTTATCGCAAATAATTGAAAGAAGTGGATCAATAACGCCCAAATCTCTTAATTTTTCTTTAACCTTTTCCCCTTGTGATAAACATAATAAACACTGAGAAGCACTTTGCTCGAGTGATGGAACCATTAAAGCTGAAACTACTGATTGGATAAATGGTGGATGGGTTGAAATTTTATTGATTAATGATGTATTTGTAGTTGCTAATAATAAATTGTTCATTAACAATAATAATTCTTTGAATTCTTTACTGCTAACATTATTAAATGGCTCTAATAATAAATCAACTAAGCCTTCAATTTCTGAAATATTATTTACAAATTCTATAAAATAAAAATAAATAAAAAACATTAATATTTATAAATATTTGTTTAAAAATAAATAAAAAATTTTGTACTTACTGGTTTTACTAATTGAATTTAAAATTGTTAAAATATAAATATTATAGTTTGGTGAAATTTGTTTTAATAAAAGTTCACTTAAAAATAATGCACCACCAAGGGAAAATATTTTTTCGCTGTTCTTTTGGTCATATTCGATAAATGTTAATAAAAGCTTCAATACTCTTCTTAAAATTCCTTGCTTATTTGAGGATAATAATGGGGTGGTAACTTCAATAGCACCTGATTGAGCCATAGCAATTGCAGTATTTTCATCTTGAACCAATCTTTTCATAATCTTTAATGCCTCGATTTGATAATCTTCTTTGTTTTTAGAATTTGGTTGGTCTAATGTGCCAATAAATTGAGCCAAAATAGAATTTGGTATCATTGGTTCATTGTTTGTGGTTGCTGTATTATTTGTATTGTTTGTTGTGGTGGTAGTAGTTGGTGGTGAAGTTGAAGTTGGCGAAGCAGATGTTGCTTCAGATTTCTTTTTGGCCATCATAATTAAAATTTCTTTGATAACTTTAGCTGAATCAATTTGAACTGATGGATTTTCGGTGGCATGCAATAAATCAAATAAAGCAACTAAATTTTCCTTGTCACCAATTGACTTTAATACTTTTTCATACTTTGATGTGAATGCCATAATCTGACAACAGAGTGCAACAGTTTCACCTTTTTCTCCTTGACGTGTGGCTCTAGTGGCATATTCTAAAAATGGTTTGAGACCACCAACAATTGCTGCCTCAATCGAACTTGGATAGTTTTGATAGGTTAAAACGTAATCATAAATTTCCAATAATGCTTGATATTGTTGATGTGTATTTTTATAGTTTTCAAATAAATATGGGACTAATCTAGAAATACATGTTTTTTCATTTGATGATTGATGTGAAAAACAATATTCACAGACTCTAACTGCATCATTATAATTAAATTGTGGTATTTTAATTCTTTTGGTTGAGCATGCGTCACAAAATTCTCTATAACAACATCTGCAAATGATGCTAAAATATTATTTAAAAAACAAATAAAAAAATTAATATTATTATAAATAATTAAAAAAAAAAAAAAAAAAATGCTTACTCTTCTTTTAATTACAGTGAATGGTGAATAACAATTTGAACATGATGGTACAAGTTTTTCAAGATCCCAAAGTGGGGAAATATGAGATAATAAAACATTTGATTTACTTCCAGAACCACTGTTAGAAACCGTATTTGTAGATTGTGGACTTGTATTATTTGATTGAGCAATATAAGATTGTTGTGGTATTGGTTGTACCTTAACGGGTTGTGGGGCTGAAAAATTTCTTGGTCTGTATGAGTCATCATTTGATGATGATGAAGCTGCAACTGGTGGTTTATTTACATTACTAGTAGTATTGTTACTGCTACTGGTATTATTACTATTATTATTGTAACCATATTCAGTAAATGATGGATAAAAACTAGTATCGGATGGTGGTGAGGTACTCAAATTATTATTTAATGTTGTGGCTGTTGTTGATTTTGATGTGTCATTTGAAGAACTAGCAGCAACTGGTTGATGTAATGTGTGTGAAAAACTTGGATGGATCCATGATGTTTTTTTATTTATATGATCTATATAATAAACTCTGCCCTGCGAATCTGTAGATTCTTCCCACCCATCAGGTAAAGATTTATTTGACATTGAAGATGACAAGGGTATATTAAATTGTGGAACCAATGTTGGTTGTGCTTGTGGTTGTGGGCTTGGTATGGGTATTGCTGTTGGTGGATTAGTTGAACCTGGTGGTGGTGTCCAACTTTGTTGCTGTGTCAATGGATTATAATAAAAATATCGACCCATATTATCACTGACAATACTCCATGGTTGTGGTGGTATTGGTAATTTTTGTGGATTGTTATTCATCATATCTATTTATCTTTTTGTATATATATAAATATAGAATATATTTTAAAATATATTATTTAATAAAATAATAATTATTAATTTCTAAAAAAAAAAAACAAATTATAAAAAAATATATTATTATTTGAATAAAACTATTGGGAAATTATTATTAATATTATTATTATTAATTATTAAAAAACTGATTTATTAATAAAAAAAAAAAAAAAACTAAAAAATTATAAAAGAAAACTTTTAAAATGTGTAATGTATATGAAAAGGAAAATTATATTAAAATAATAAAAAAAAATAAATTAACTTAAAAAAAATAAAAATAAAAATAAAAAAATAAAAAATAATTAATTTAAAAAAAATAAAAAAAAATTAAAAAAAAAATAAATTTTATTGAAAAAAAAAGAAAAATAATTTTATTTTTTTTTATTTATTTAGGTTATATATTTTATTTTTTTGAGTTTATGTATTACTTTTTAAACCCTACTTGATAACATATAAATATCTTTTTTTTCCTTTTTCTCTTTCCTTTTATTTTTTACATTTCTTTTTCTTTTTCTCCGAGTCGGTAATACCATTTTTATTTTTTTGATCATCAATTTGATTTATTTCTTACCATTTCCAATAAAATAAATAATTAAACAAAAGATTCTTTTTGAAAAGAATTATTTGGTTAAAATTATATCATTATTTTACAAAAACTGAAAAATTTAGATTAAAAAAAAAAAAGTAAAAATAAAAATAAAGATTGGTTAAAGCACATAATACACTATATAGATACATATGTTTAGATTATTTATAAATAAAAATAAAAATTAAAAGATTAAAAAAAAAAAAAAAAAAAAAAAAAAAAAGTGCGATAGAAAATATATTTTTATAAATATTTTGAATTTGAATGAAAAATCTGTTTTGTGTAATCTGTATTTGATGAAACTAAAATTATAAATAAATAGTTTAAATAAAATAAAATTAAAAAAATTAAGATATAATCTTTTTGATCTCCAAAAGAGAAAGAATAAAAAAAAAATAAAAAATAAAAAATAAAAAAAAAAAAATTATTATTATTATTATTATTATTTATTTGAAAAACCCAAATAAAAAAAATTATTATATGGAAAAAAAAAGAAAAAAAAAAATTAATATAAATGATAAAAAAAAATTCACACACAACCTCCCACTCTATTCATTTTAACAACCAACAATAATAGTTTATATGTATAAATATATATTTTTTTAACAAAATTTTTTTATGATCATTTTTTTCTTTCAATAATAAAAGCTCTTAAAAAGGAAAGGGAAAAAACAAATATTTTAATTATAATTAAAAAACAAAAAAAAATTAAAAAAATTAAAATTTAATAATTAAAAAAAAAAAAAAAAATTAAAAAAAAAATTAAAAAAAAAAAAATTTAATAATTTTTAGTGCTCTTTGTTATTAATTAAATAGTAGTATATATAATAATAGTAATAATTGTATATATATAAATAAATTTACATATATAAATAATTAAATTCATAAATAATAAAAATAAATAAAATAGAATAATATCAGTAAAAACTTTTTTTTTTTTTTTTTTTTTTTTTTTTTTTTGGAAATTAATTAAATTGGCGAAATTTATATAAATAGAAATAATAATAAAAAATAAAGCTGTATTATTTTTGTGTTGAATTGTATGTTAGGAATAATTTGAAGAAATACAGGCAACAGTTATTAAAAGAAAAAGAAATTAATAAACTAATAATAAAAAAAAAAAAAAAAAAAGAAAGAAGTAAAGAAAAAAAATATATAATAAAAAATGAAAAATGTAAATAATAATAATTTATCTCTATTATTTTTATAATTTTTTTTTTAAAATATATTAATATTTATTTTTCATAAAATCATTTTACAAAAAAATGAATGATATCGCAAATTTTTTTTTTTTTCAATTTTATTTTTTTTTCAAATTACAACTTTTTTTTTACTCAGGATCATATAAATGCACAACAGGTTTCTCCAAATTTAAAGCACCAACAAACAAATACAAATCAAACAGTACCATTATCACCACAACAAATACCATTTAGTGAACCGTTGAAGGCAGGACAACAACATGGCAGTTTATTGAGAAAGAGTTATTCAAGCAGATTTCATGAAAAACCACAAGGTGAATTAACAAAAATACCAGGATTTCAAGAGGTACCACCAGAAGAGAGACCATCATTATTTCTTTTAAAGTTAAAGCAATGTTGTTATGTTTACGATTTCTCAGAAAACAACTATATGGTATCAAAGAGTATCAAACAAGAGGCATTGTTGCAATGTGTACAGTTTTTAAGCACCAACGATCAACCATTACATGAAAGTGTATATAAAATGTTATTTGAAATGGTTGCAGTAAATTTATTTAGACCACTACCGCCAAGAATTAACCCTTATGGTGTAATGTACGATCCTGAAGAGGATGAACCAATTCTAGAAGCAGCATGGCCACATATTCAAGTTGTATACGAAGTTTTATTAAGGTTTATCGATTCACCAACTTTTAATACACATATCGCGAAAAATTATGTAGATGACAAGTTTGTTTTACAAATGTTAGAGTTGTTTGACAGTGAGGACCCCAGAGAGCGTGACTACCTCAAAACTACACTTCATCGTATCTATGGCAAATTTTTAGGTCTTCGTAGTTTTATTAGAACAGCAATTCGTAATTTATTTTGTACATTTGTTTATGAATCTCATCAACACAATGGTATTTCTGAAATTTTAGAAGTTTTGGGTAGCATTATTAATGGTTTTGTTGTTCCTTTAAAAGATGAACATAAACAATTTCTCATCAAAGTTTTAATTCCACTACACAAGCCAAAATCTTATTCAGTATATTGTTCTCATTTAGGTTATTGTATGACACAATTCATTGAAAAAGATCCATCTCTTGCCGAACCAATATTTAAATCAATACTCCGTCTTTGGCCATGTGGAAATAGTCAAAAAGAGGTATTATTCCTCTCAGAAATGGAGGATTTGTTATCATCTGTATCAGAAGACCAATTTTTAAAATTTAGAACTCAATTCTTTCGTCAAATGACCAAATGCTTCCAAAGTGAACATTTTCAAGTTGCTGAAAGAGCACTCTATTTATTTTCAAATGAAAATATAGTTTTATTAATAGCATCAAAAAATAACTTTACTCTAGCATTAGAAACATTTTATAAACCATTATACGAAAATTCGATTGGCCATTGGAATAAGTATGTAATAATAATTAAATAATTTAAATTTTTATTATTTCTAAATTTCTAACAATTATTTTTATTTTTATTTAGATCAATAAGAAATTTATCAATAAGTTCATTGAAACTATTTATGGAAATTGACATTGATTTATTTAATAAGGTTAGTGAAAAATATAAAGAAACCAAAAAGAAACAGCAGCAACAGCAACAACAACGTGAAAAAACAAGACAAAATGTCGATGTATCATTTAAACAAATTAATCAAAAAGAAATTGAAACTAAATCTGATAAACCATCAATGATTAGAAGAAAATCTTTATTACCAGTTGATCCCTCAACTATTGCAGCTCTATCAAATCATCGTTCCTTAGAAGAAATAATAAGCAACAAGAATGAAAATAGTAATGATAACAATGATGATGAAGAGGTTAAAGAAGATTCACTTCACTATGTACCCTATATAAGCCAATAATAAAATTATTTATTTTATTATAATTAAATAAATTAATAATAATAATAAATAATAAAATAAATAATAAATAATAATAATCTATAATATTTAAATTTTAATAAAAAAATACAAACTTTATTTTTTTTTTATCATTCCAAATTTATAAATCTTTTTTCTTAAAAAAAATAAAAAAATAAAAAAATAAAAAAATAAAAAAAAAAATATTAAAAGATACAACCCTTTTTCTTTTTTATTCTTTTTAATATTTTATTTTAATTAATAAAATATAAATTTTATTTTTATTATTTATTATTTATTTTAGTTTATTTGTAGAGATAGAAACCATGACCGACTTTTTTACCTAAACGACCAGCTTCGACATATCTTTTTAAGAGTGGTGCTGGTCTATATTTATCACCAAGTTGGGTGTGGAGGATGTTCATAATTGAATAGCAGGTATCTAAACCGATGAAATCAGCTAATGCTAATGGACCCATTGGCATATTGCAACCTAATAACATTGTAGTATCGATATGTTCTAAAGTACCGAGACCTTCATCGAAAGCTTGAACAGCTTCGTTGATGTATGGCATTAAGAGTCTGTTGGCGATGAAGCCTGGCATATCCTTTGAAAGAGTGGTGGTTTTGCCCATTTCTTTAGCAAGTTGAAGAGTAACATCAACAGTGTTTTGGCTGGTGCCAAGAGCTGGAATGACTTCGACTAATTTCATAACTTGAACTGGATTCATAAAATGCATACCAATAACATTTTCTGGGGTTTTGGTGTTTGCTGAGATTTGTGTAATTGAAATAGATGATGTATTTGATGCTAAAATAGCACCTGGTTTGCAAATTGCTGCAAGTTCTTGGAATAATTTAGATTTGATTTCTGGATTTTCAACGATTGCTTCAATAACCATATCTGCATCTTTAACTGATTTAATATCATCACTGAATGAAATTCTGGATAAAGTTGCACTCTTTTCAGCTTCTGTAATATTTCCTTTGTTTAATTGTTTAGTTAAAAGATTGTTAATATTAATTAATGATTTTTCAATTGATTCTTTTTTTGAATCAACAAGGATAACATTTCTTTTGGCAACTTGGGCAAGTACTTGGGCAATACCAGATCCCATTTGACCACTACCAATAACACCAACTGTCTTTTTTTTTTTTTTTTTTATTTTTATTTTTATTTTTTTTATTTTTTTAAAAAGATATTAATAAATTATAAATTAATTTAACGAAATTTAAATTTTAAAATAAAAAAAATAAAAAAAGAAATAACTCCTTATCTATTTGTAAATATAATGCTTACTTGGATGTGGACGGCAGATGAATAGAATCTTAAACCTGATTGAGCAGCTTTTCTTAAACCTAACATTTTTATATTATTTTAATGAAAATATGAATGATCAAAATTTTAAAAAATTTTAAAAATTATCTTTTTTAAAAAAAAAAAAAAAAATTTTAAAATTAAAAAAAAAAAAAAAATTTTAATTATTCAAATATTTATTAATAATTTTTTTATTGTTCAAATATATATATATATTTTCAAAGTTAATTTATGTGTTAAATTTATAAAAAGAACATTTTATAGAATTCTTTAGATTTGATTCTTTTTTTTTTTTTTTTTTTTTTTTTTTTACAAAAAATTTAATTTTTTTTTTTTTTTTTTTTTCGTTTTTTTTTTTTTTTTTTTCTTTTTTACATTTTTTAAATATTTTAATTTTTTTTTTTAATTATTTCTCTTATAATTCAAAAATGTTTACATTAGAAGTAATTGTACCTAAACAACATGTACCAGAGAAATTTGATAAATATATTTCATCATCCAGAATCAAAGTAAAAGAAACTGGAGAATTAGTAAAATTAACCAAATCTTCAATTCCAAAGATTATCGGGTTAAAATTAGTTACAGTTAATAATGTCCAATTAAAAGATAAAAGCACCAAAGTTAAACCAAATGACCATATTATCATTAAATTAACAAATATCGATCAATATAAAGTCGAATCAAAAGGAAACCAAGAACAAAAAGAATCCAACAATATTAGCAAACAAACAGCATGGTGGGATAAAAATGCTGAGCAACAAGGTAAACCACAAACTAATAAAAAACCAGCTCCAGCTCAAGCAAAACCAATATCTACCGGTAGTAAAGGTGCTCAATTGGCTTCAACTGATATTAAATTAGAAGTATTATATGAAGATGACAATCTTGCAGTTATAAATAAACCAGCTGGTATGTTGGTACATCCATCCAATACAACCCATACAGTAGTTTTAAATAAAGAGGATCAAACTCATACTTTAGTAAATGCATTAATTCATAGATATGGTGGTATTTCAAAACTTTCAAATCTTGGTGGTAATGAACGTCCAGGTATTGTACATAGATTAGATAAAGATACTGCTGGTATTATTATTATCGCTAGAAATAACAACACTCATAAACAATTACAAGCATTATTTGAAGAGCATACAAGTACAATGATTAAAAACACAACTGAGGAAGATCAAGAACCTGAAAACATGGATGAAGACGATATCAGCGGTGATGATAGCGGTGACTATTATGACGACGATGACAATAACCATTATGGCGATGATAGTGACGATGATGACAATTTTTCAAAACCAAAATCATCTGGCCAAGTACCATCACGTCCAGCAACCATCACAGCAAACCATCTTTCAAAATTAATGGAGGGTAAAACCATCCCATTAACCATCCAAAAGAAATACCATTGCATTGTTTTAGGCAAACCAAAAGAAACACATGGCTTTATTAATAAAAAAATAGCAAGACATCCAGGTGATAAAAATAAAATGGTTATCGACGAAAGAGTTGGTAAAGAAGCTTTAACCGAGTATAAAATTTTAAAAGTTTGGGATAATGTCGATGTACAAGTTTATGACGAAAAGAAAAATAAATTAATTTCAAAACCAAGCAGCGCTGAAAATACAAACTCAACTTTATCCGAATATGATAATGTTTCAAGTCAATTAAATAAAAATAAAAAGAAGAATAAAAAATCAGTTTCAAATAAACCAACCCCTAAATTAAATTCAAGAATGTCATTATTGTCAGTAGACGATGATGAAGATGACGAAAACGACGAAAAAGCAGCTCTTTCAGATAGTGAAGATGATAGTGAAGATGCAGTTTATTTAGATAGCGATGATGACAGCGAAAATGCAGTTTATTTAGATGGTGAAGATGATAGCGAAGAAGATGACGACGAAGAAGACGAAGAAGATGATGATGATGATGAAGAAGACAGCGATAGTGAAGTTTCAACTAAAAAAGAAAACTATGATGAAATTATAAAAAGATTACAAAGAACCAAATCAATTGGATCTAATACATTCTCATTATTAGAAATTACATTACATACTGGTAGATCACATCAAATTAGAGTCCATATGGCAAGTGAAAATCTCCCAATCGTTGGTGATCCAATTTACTCTAGTAAATCAAAACAATTTTTAGTATCACATTTATTATTAGCTTCAGTAAGTTTGAAATTTGTTCACCCAATTTTAAATCAAGTCAAAGAGTTCACAATAGAACATCCATCTCATTTTAAACAATTTATTGATTCAATTGAAAATAATACCGAAGCTGATAATAATAATCAAAAACCATCATCATCATCATCTAAAACATCATCTAAAAAAATTAATAATGATTTCGATGAGGATAAAATCTCGAAAAAATCAATCAAAAATATCAGTAATAAAACAACCCCACAATCACAAAAAGTACCCACAATCACAACCACTACCACTAAAGATTTTACAGCTACAAAAAATAACGTCAATAATAATAACAATAATAGCAACAACAATTCTAATAATAACAAAAACAAAAAGAAAAATAATAACTTTATTAAAAATATTAACAGTTTAGATGAAAAACTTGAAAAGGATTTACTCTCTTCATTTATTAACTAAAAAAGAAATTATTATTATAATTTTTAAAAAAAAAAAAAAAAATAAAAAAAATTTAATTATATAAAAATAAATAATAAATTTATTTAAATTTTACTATACTGTGTGATAGTAGTTGTGTGTGTGTTTTTATGTGTGTGGGGTGTGTGTACCATTATATTATTTTTATTATTTTTATTATTTTTAATTTTTATTTTTTTTTAATTTTATTTTTTTAATTTTAATTTCATTTTAAATTTTATTATTTTATTTAAATTTTTTTTTTTAAATATTAATTAATTTTTAATTTCTTTTTTGTATAAATTAATAAATAATAAAATTTTATTTTCCCTCTAAATATTTTTCTCTCTTTTTACCATTGTTTTTTGAATATTATAATAATAAAAGTTTTAATTTGTAAAAATAGATTTAATAATATTTTTTTTTTTTTCTTTATTATTTTAAATTTTGTTTTATATAATAAATTTTTTTTTTATATTTTATACAATATTAATTCATAAACACACACGACCCACTATAATAACAATAAAATTTTGTTAAGATATCCTATATACTATTTTAAAATAAAATAATAATATTAAATAATAAAAATAAAATAAAAAAATAAAAATAATTATTGATAATAATTGATAATTATTGATAATACCATAATAAAATAAAATTTATAAAATAATAATAATAACATAAATAATTTAGAGAAAACAGAAAAAAAATAATACAATTGTATTCAATTATTATTTGATTTTAAACCATTAATAAATAATAATATTCATATTATAAATCCCAATAAAATAATATTTATTATACTCAAATTATAATTTATGTATAATATTTTAATAAAAGTTACATTTAATAAAATTTTAATTTTTATATAAATAAAACAAAAAAAAAAAAAACAAATAAAATTTTCTTTATTTTTAACAAATAAATAATAACAAATAAATATAGAATGGAGGAAATAGATTGTGAAAGTTTAGTTATTGAGGAAAACGAATTTTCAAAGGGATCATTTGCAAAGGTTTATAAAGGAAGTTATTATGGAAATCCAGTTTGTGTTAAAGTAGTAAAAAAAGATTCTTTAATTGATAAAGAACTAATAAAGTTTTTAAATAGAGAAATAGATATTTTAAAGTAGCTATAATTACAATAAAAAGAAATATTATTTTATTAAAACATATACTAACTATATTTTTTTTATAATAGAGAAATTTTACATCAGCCACATAAAAATATTGTTAAATTTATTGGTATTGGAGAAAAGGATTCATTATTATTTTTAATTACTGAACTTATTAACGGAGGAGATGTTGGTAGTATTTTATTAAATGAAAGCTTCGTTTTACCATGGAGTTTGAGAATTAAAATGGCCAAAGATATTGCTGAAGGTATGGAGTTCCTTCATTCAAAAAAAATAATGCACAGAGATTTAAAGTCAAACAATTTACTATTAGGAAAAAATTGGACAGTAAAAAGTAAGTGGTAATATAAAATAATTAAAAAAATAAAAATATTTATATTAATGGTTTTTTTTTTCTTCATTAGTTTGTGATTTTGGTTTCGCAAAACAATTTTTACAAGTTAATCCCTTATCACAAACCATTTGTGGTACTGATGAATTTATGTCACCAGAGGTTATATTAGGAATACAGTATAGTTTTTCAGCTGATGTATATAGTTTTGGTATGGTGTTACTAGAGTTAATTACAAGAAATAAACTAGAAGAGCGTCTACCTCAAAATAACTTTGATATCGATTACGAAGAACTCCAAAACAAAATTCCATCCGACTGCCCAAGAGAGTTTTTAGAGATTTCAATGAAATGTTGCAACTATGATCCAAAAGAAAGACCAACATTTAGAGAAGTTGTAGAAATGTTAGATAACCTTATAATAAAACTAGTAAAAGAATCTCCCGATGGTCCATACCCCGAAACCCCAATTATAGTTTCAAATCCACACTTTGATGAACAATCTATTAATGATTGGTGTATGTTATCACTCATTCCTGACGACTGTTTAGAAAATCTAAACGAATTTTCAGATTTAAAAAACAATAAAACAAACGACAATAATATTAATAATAATAATAATACCGATAACAGTACAAAATTATATAACGACGCAAAATCAAATTTAAAAAATAGTAATTGCTTATTGTGCGAAAATTGTCAACAAAAATCACCAGAAAGTGTAAAAAGTTCTTATAGTAACAGTAGCATTGGTAGTAGTACAGGCAGTGTCAGTAGCTCAGGTAGCAAAAAGAAAAATAGAAAATCTTGGAGATGTTTGATTAATTAAACTCTTTTTCTATACTTTATATATAATTTTTTTTTGAAAATCATTTATTTTTATTTGTTTTTTACAAATATATATTTATTAAATAAAAATAAAATCTTTTTTTTGCCCTCTAAACTTTTTTTTTTTATGAGTTATAACCCCAATGCTATATGGGGAAATATAGTATAATAAAAATAAATGTACCATCATTTTAAAAATATTCAATAGAAAAGTTAATATTTAAATAGAATTCACGGACAACGAAAACGACAACATAAATGGATGGTGTATGCAAACCAAATTTGGATTTAATTTTTTTAATTTTTAAAAAAATTAAAATAAATTTATTTTTTTTTTTAAAAAAATTTAAAAAAAAATAAATAAATTTTTTTTTTTTTTTTAATTTTCCACACGAGGATTGCAGCAACATTGTTCCAAAAAAAGAATCATTTCATCATTTTTTTTTGTTTTGTGCCATAGTTTATTTTTATGCGCCCAAGTTTTTTTTTTTTTAATATTAAAATATATTTGTAAAAATAGATTTTATTTATATTTATTTTTTTTATAACCAACATGTCAAAATTTTTTTTTCCTCCTCATAATTCTCTAACAGGAATTGATTAAAACCATGGTGATATCAAATTGAAAATCAAATCAAATGGCAAAACATTTATTTATAATTATTTTTTTTTTTTTTCTTGAATTATTTAAAAAAATATTATATATATAAAAAAAAAAAAAAAAAATATCAACCAAATCATTTTATTTTTTTTGTTCTAATAACAAATAAAATAAATATAATAAATAATAATAATATAAATAAATTAAATAAATATATAAATAATAAATCATAAATAAAAATATAAAAATTTTCTTAATATTTTTTATAAAATTATAAATTAGATTTATAATTTTATTTTTTTTTATTTAATAAAAAAATGGATATTCAGTTAAAAGATTTTAAAGAAGAACCTTTAAATGAAAGTAATCATATTAATGTAGAAAGAGGATTGGATGATTTCAATAAAGTTGCAGAAGAATTAGAACAAGATTATAAAGAATCAGTAGCAAAAGATGTAGAGTCCCTCTCAGAAGAAGATTTTAAATTAAGAAATTACTTTGAAACATCACAAAGAATGTCTTTGGAAAATGGCGGTAGACCAAAAAAGATGGGTGTAGTCTTCAAGAATTTAACTGTTGTCGGAAAAGGTGCAGATTTATCAACCATTTCTGATTTATCAACACCTTTTAGATCATTAGTTGAGTTGTTTAAATTTAAATGGTAAATTTATTATTTTTGTAATATTATTGAAAAAAAAAAAATAATAATAACATTTGTAATTTTTATTTTTTAGGATTAAAAGAGAAAATACTTCATCAACATTTGATATTTTACACAAGGTTACTGGTTATTGTAAAGATGGTGAAATGCTATTAGTTCTTGGTAGACCTGGCTCTGGTTGTTCGTAAGTAGATTATTTTTATTTTTTTTAATAATCAATATTAATTTTATTATTTTTTTAAAAAAAAATTTAGAACTTTACTACGTGTTTTAAGTAATCGTCGTAATTCCTATATTGATGTTCTCGGGGATGTAACATATGGTGGACTTTCACATAAAGAGTGGGAAAAGTTTAAAGGAGAATCAATTTATATTCCAGAAGAAGATTGTCATTCACCAACCCTCACAGTCAGAGAAACTTTAGATTTCGCTTTAAAATGTAAAACTCCACATAATCGTCTTCCAGATGAAAAGAAACGTACTTTTAGAACTAAAATTTTTGATTTATTAGTAAATATGTTTGGTATTACAAAGCAATCAGATACAGTAAGTAAAAAAAAAAAAATAAAAAAAAAAAAAAAATAAAATTAACCATGGTTTTTTTATAGGTTGTTGGTGATGAATTTTTAAGAGGTTTATCTGGTGGTGAAAAGAAAAGATTAACCATTGCCGAATCTATGGTTGCATCCTCATCAATTAATTGTTATGATTGCTCCACCAGAGGTTTAGATGCTGCTTCAGCTTTAGATTATGCAAAATCAATTCGTATTATGTCAGATACTTTACACAAAACAACCATTGCTTCATTTTACCAAGCCTCAGATTCAATTTATAATCTTTTTGATAAAGGTACGTTATTATATATTTCATTTTTTAAATTGTTCCTTAATTAAAATTATTAATTATTTTTTTCATTTTTTTAAAACTATAGTTTTAATTCTCGAAAAAGGTCGTTGTATTTATTTTGGTTCAACACAAGATGCTAAACAATATTTCTTAGATATGGGTTTTGATTGTGAACTACGTAAATCAACTCCAGATTTCTTAACTGGTAAATATTTATTATATTTTTAAAAAAAAAAAAACAAATATTAATATTTTTTTTTCATTTCATTAAATAATAGGTATTACAAATCCACAAGAACGTAAAGTTAAAAAAGGTTTTGAAGGAAATGTTCCAATTACATCAGAAGATTTCGAGACTGCATGGTTAAAATCAGAACAATATCAAAACTCTATTAATGAAATTAATGAATATGAAAAGAAAGTAGAAATAGATCAACCAAAGAATGATTTTATTCAAGAAGTTCATCAACAAAAAAGTAAAAATGTTAGTAAAAAATCACAATATACAACAAGTTTTTTCACTCAAATTATTGCTCTTACAATTCGTAATTATAAATTAGTTTGGGGTGACAAGTTTGGTATTAGTTTCCGTTATTTTTCCGTAATTGTTCAATCACTTATTTATGGTAGTATATTTTTCCGTATGACAAAAGACTCTATGGATGGAGCTTTTACTCGTGGTGGTGCTTTATTTTGTTCAATTCTTTTTAATGCATTCTTTTCAGAAGGTGAACTTCCAGTCGCATATGTTGGCCGTAGAATTTTAGAAAAACATAAATCATATTCAATGTATAGACCATCAGCACTTCATTTGGCCCAAGTTTTAACAGATATACCAATTATTTTCATTCAGGTATTCGTCTACTCTTTCATTATCTACTTTATGTATGGTTTAGAGGCTGTAGCATCAAAATACTTTATTTTTGTCTTCGCTTTAATTGGTTTATCACTTTGGACTCAAAATTTATATAGATGGTTTGGTGTTTTAACTCCTTCAATTTATATTGCTCAAAATGGTGTTAATATTTTAATTGTTTCATTATTTACTTGTAAGTATTAGGTTATTTGTTTTAATAGTTTAAATTTATACTAAAAATCTTTTTAATCTAGATTCTGGATATCTTGTACCATTAAGTAAAATGCACCCTTGGTTTAAGTGGATTTATTGGGTATGTAAAATTTCATTTTCTTTTTTTTTTTATATTTATATTAATTTTTATATTTAAATTAAAGGTTAATCCATTCGCATATTGCTTTAATGCTTTAATGCAAAATGAATTTAAAGGAATGAATTTCGATTGTTCACAAATGTCAATTCCTTATAGTACCGTTAATGGTAGTACAACATACAGTGATGCAGCTTATCGTGCATGCCCAACTGCCGCAGCTTTACCAGGTGAAATGAGTTTTTCAGGTGAAAGTTATATCGATTACTCACTTAGTGTTAAAGCCAGTCTCTCACTTAATGTTATTGTTGTTTATCTTTTCTGGTTATTATCAGTTTTCCTTAACTGTGTTGCAATGGAATATATCGATTGGACAGGTGGTAACTTTACATGCAAGGTATGTATTTATAACTTAAAACAATATTTTCTTTTTAGTCTACAAGTTTTATTAACAATTAAAATTAAAATAGGTTTATAAAAAAGGTAAAGCACCAAAATTAAATGATGCAGAGGAAGAAAAGAAACAAATTCTTATGGTCGAAAATGCTACAAACAATATGAAAGAATCTTTAAAGATGCCAGGTGGCCTTTTTACATGGCAAAACATTAACTATACAGTTCCAGTATCAGGTGGTAAAAAACTATTGTTAGATGACGTTGAGGGTTGGATCAAACCAGGCCAAATGACTGCTCTTATGGGATCCTCAGGTGCTGGTAAAACAACTTTACTTGATGTATTGGCTAAAAGAAAAACTATTGGTGAAATTAAAGGTAAATGCTTCCTCAATGGCAAATCTTTACAAATAGATTTCGAACGTATTACTGGTTATGTCGAACAAATGGATGTACATAACCCTGGTTTAACAGTTCGTGAATCACTTAGATTCTCTGCCAAACTCCGTCAAGAACCAGAAATTCCATTACAAGAAAAATATGATTATGTTGAAAAGGTTTTAGAAATGATGGAAATGAAACACTTGGGTGACGCTTTAATTGGTAATTTAGATACTGGTATTGGTATTTCAGTAGAAGAAAGAAAACGTTTAACTATTGGCGTTGAATTAGTCGCAAAACCTCATATTGTAATTATCTTTCAGATATAATACTTAAATAATTTAAATTTTATTAACTTTCTTTATTTTTAATTAATAATATAGCTCTTTTTAGATGAACCAACATCTGGCTTAGATGCTCAATCATCGTACAACATTGTTAAATTTATCCGTAAACTTGCAGATGCTGGCATGCCATTGGTATGTACAATCCATCAACCATCAAGTGTATTATTCGAACATTTTGATCGTATTTTACTTTTAGCTAAAGGTGGTAAGACTGTTTACTTTGGTGATATTGGTGAGAAATCAAAAACTCTTACATCATATTTCGAACGTCATGGTGTTAGACCATGCAATGAAATTGAAAACCCAGCAGAATATATTTTAGAGGCTACTGGAGCAGGTGTTTATGGAAAAACTGATGTTGACTGGCCAGCTGCTTGGAAAAACTCACCAGAGTATAAAGCTGTTGAAGATGAGCTTGGTGCATTAGAAGCCGCAGGTCCAATTCCAGGCATGGATAATGGTTCCCCAAGAGAGTTTGCAACATCTATTTGGTATCAAAGCTGGGAAGTTTACAAACGTCTTAATTTAATTTGGTATAGAGATCCATTTTATACATTTGGTACTTTTGTTCAAATTGCAATTACTGTAAGTATACACTATATTATAAAAACTAAATAATAATATTAATATGCAATATTAATTTTATTTTAATTGAATTTAGGGTCTTATTATTGGTTTCACTTTTTATAATCTTAAAAACTCCTCAACTGATATGAATCAACGTATTTTCTATATCTTTGAAGCTTTATTAATTGGTGTCCTTATGATGTTTTTAGTTTTACCACAATTCCTTTCTCAGAGAGATTACTTTAGAAGAGACTATGCAAGTAAATTTTATTCATGGTTACCATTTGCCATTGGTATTTCAACAGTTGAATTACCATATGCAGTTATTTCAGCCACCATTTTCTACATCACATCTTACTTTACAGCAGGTTTACAGCATGATGGTAATACAAATTTCTATTTTTGGTTCTTATATGTAGTCTTTATTTTCTTCTGCATTAGTATGGGTCAAGCAATTGGCGCTGTTTGTCAAAATATTTATTTATCATATGTTATTTCACCACTTTTCCTTGTGTTCCTCTTCTTGCTTTGTGGTGTAATGGTACCACCAAGTGATATTCCTACTTTTTGGAAATGGGTATGTATAAATAATTATAAACCACTGCCACTATTCTTTAATAGTTATACTAAAAGATTTTTTTTAAACAGGTATATGATCTCAATCCATGCACTCATTTCCTTATAGGTATCATTACAAATGTCTTAAAGAATGTTGATGTTAGATGTGCCCAAGATGACTTTGTAAAATTCATTAAGGATCCTGTATTTGCAACCTGCGAAGAATATGGTTACGAATTTATCAATGTAACTAAAGCTGATGGATATGTTGAAACTCTCGAGAATGGTGACTGTGGTTATTGCACCTTTAAGGCTGGTTCTGAATATTATGAAAGTCGTGGTTGGGATTATGATCATAGATGGAGATCATTTGGTATTGTCACAGGTTATTGGATTTTTAACAGTCTTTTAGTTGTTGTTTTTGTTTATCTTACAAGAAAAGGAAGCAGATAAATCATTTATAATCATCATCAATTTTAAAAAAAAATTAAATAAAATTACTATAGAATTATAGTACTATAAAATCATAATACCTCTTTTTTTTTTTTTTTATTTTATTTTTTGATCATAATCTTTGACAAATATAAATGAATTAAAATAAATTATATAATCTTACTTGCCTAAACTAATTTTTTTGCCATTTTTAGTATATGCTTTAATTTGATAGAGCCGTCAAAAGGGTTAAAGTTTTGAAATGTAAAGTTTTGATATGACCTTTTTAATTTAGATTTTTTTATCATTTTGAAAGATTAGTGGGAATGTAAACGGGACAGGATTTAAAACTTTAAATTTCAAAAAAATATTGTATACTAGCATTTTAATCATTTTTTATAAAATTGTTAAATATTCAATTTTTTTTTTTATAAAATTATGATTACAAAAAAAAAAAAAAAAAAAATTAAAAATTAAATATTATAATATTAATTATCTGGATGTTTTTTTTATTTCAGAAGGTTTTTTTACTAATTGGCAATCCACATATTAATTGGTAAAACTTTAATTGGATAACTATTTACATATTTCGATTGAGAGTTAAAAGTATTTAAAACAGCATTGCCTGCATAACTACTGTGTTGAATTGAGACAGCTTGGAAAAACTCTTGGTTATTTGGGTTTGCAACATTTGTACTAGCCATAGCATAGGCTACTGAGTTTTCGAAAATATATTGAGAACCAGGAATAACTTTGATAATATTACTATTTTTCATTGTAAAGAGTGATGGTGTGCCCTCGATATCCATCCAAAAATAAAAAGTATCAAAGCTTTCTAAATAAACTAAATTATATGGGTAACTTGATATATTTAAAGAATTTTGGTTTGGGAATTTAAGGTTAACAGTTCCTTGTTTGCTTTTTCCATCACTTGAAAATACATTGAGAACATTGATATTATTCACAACCGAGAGAGTATAGTATTGATTTGCTTTACTATCGAATGCAGCAGCACAAAAAATACCTTGTAACTTGTTTTCTATTACGATAGTGTGAGTATTTTCATTTAGTTTACCAATTGCTGTATCTCCATTGCTAGTTTGAACAATAAATAACAAATCATCCTCCTCGCTTGTACTATTTGATGATATTATTGAATATACCTCTGGAGTTTGATAAAAATCTACTGGAATTTGGAATAAACCATGATTGTGTATATTAAATTGATATAAATACATTTTACTTGACTTTAAAAAAATTAATTTAAAAATACTTATTAATTAAAAATTATAATTATTAAATTAATTATAACTACTTACATTGTTGTATACTAAGAATGAAATCATATTTGTGTGACTGTTGAATGTTGAATATTGATTTGTATTAAAATGTTGGTAGCCACTTATGGTGTATAAAACTTTAGTTTCGCCTGTGGGTAAATTAAACAAGCCAATTATTGCTTCTCCATTTTCATTCCATAAAGCATAGGATGAATAGGTAGCTACCTCGCTAAGTACTTGACTTAATAATAAAATAAATGATAATAATATTGGAATAAACTTCATTATATGTTTTAATATAATATAAAATTTAAAATTATATTAAAAAAAAAAAAAAAAATTTCAATTTATATTTTTTTAATTTTTACACATCAATTTAAAAAATATCTTGATGACTCCAAAGAAATTTCATTTTTTTTTTTTTTACAAAAATAATCTTAACAAAATCCACGTCATATTTTCTTCTCAAAGAATGTAATCATCAAATTCAAGAAGTTGTATGATGTTCTAAACAAAATAGTTGAAAATTTTGAATATTAATTTTAATAATTTTTTCTGATGTTTTTAAATTAATACAAACTTTTTTTTTAACAACATAATATATTTTTTTTTTTATTATTTTAATAAAAATAGTAATAATAATATTATGATACTATTTTTTTTCTTTATAATGATAATATTTTTAAAAATAGCACATAAATAACATAAAAAAAAAGAAGTTGAGTTTAAATTTTAATTTAATAGTTATGAAAACGAAATAATTTGAAATGGTCTGATCCTTTGTGAAAATAATAACTAAAAAAAATATTTTAATAAAAAAAATGATCATTTTTTGGCTTTTGTGTTTGATTCTCTTTTTAATTCATTTTTTTTCTTTTAATTTTCTCTTTTTTTCTTTTTTATTTATCTACCAAATGTTCTTCAAAATAATAGATATAAGTATTTGGATCAACCAATTTCTATAATGTATTACCAACTCTATCCGCCTTTCCCGGTATTCTCTTTTTTAGTCCTCCTTTACCTGTCCATTTAATTAATCATCATTTAAATTCACCTCTTGGTTGATATAAGTTCTTGATTAATATATATTTATAGAGAAATCCCAAATCAGTTGGTCTATTATCTGTAAAATTAAAAAAATAAACTAAAATAAAATAAAAAAGCAATGAAAAATAATATCTTATTTTTTCTTTTAACTTTTCAACCGAAAATTATAATTTTTATTTTTATTTTTTAAAAATTTTTCAATTTTTTTAAATAAAAAAAAACTATTTTATATTTTTATTTAAATTGTAATAATAATATATAAACCAGAAAATTAAAATAAATAATGGATTCAATTCATTTACTAAAAGCATATCCAATAAATATAAACAAAACTAATTTTGGTATCCAAGATCAAGTTGTAGAATCAGAATTATTTAATGCAGTATGGATCCAAAAAGAGAATTACAACCAAGAGGCAGTTAAAATGTTATGTGAAATGTGGCAAGTACCAGAGAGCTATCTTGTTGGTAGATTAAGATGTGAAGCAGCATTAAAATTAATTTTAATTGAAAAAAATATGGCAGAGGGATTGTATTATTATAAATTAGCAGCAAATGAAAACAAATCGGTTGAGGCTTTATTTTCATTAGCAAATATGAAACTTACCATGACACAAACTTTACAAAGCCACAAAGAAGCATTTGAACATTTACAAATTGCAGTTACACAACCACAAACCATTGAATATGGCGAAGAAGTATATACAAATAAATTCATTGTCGAGTCACAATTAATGTATGCTAATCTCTGTTTTGAAGGTGTTGGTGGCCCAAAAAATTTAGAAGAAGCAAAGAAATATTATGAAATGGCATTAGAATATTCTAAAAATAAAGGTGCACCATTTGCCAAATATGCCATTATCCTTTGTAGAGGTGATGGTGGCGATGTTATTCCAAAAGATTTAGAAAGAGGTTTATCAATTTTAAAGGGTATTATTGATCAAGATGGCGAAGATACACAACCTGGTATTATATTTTTATATGGTAAATTTTTATTTAGTATTAAACCAGAGGAAGCTATAGAGTTTATTAGAAAAGCAGCAAAAAATAATTATCCAACCGCCAAAGATGAGTTAGAAACTTTTGAATCAAATTTAAAAAAATTAAAATCTGACAACAGTAATAATAATAATAATAATAATAATAATAATAAAAAAGGAAAAAATAATAAAGTAAAAAAAAATAATTTATGTTAAATTATCCAAAATAAAAAAAATAAAAAAAAAAGAATTTTTATAGTATTTAGTGTTATATTTTTTTTGTTTATAACTTTATTTACAAAAAAAAAAAAAAGATTATTCTAGTTTTAATTTTTTTTTTTTTTTTTTTAGATTTAATGATCAATTAATGTATTGGTTATTTGAGTAATGGTTTTGATGATTCAGTATGACCAACAAGCTTTTCTACAAAATAATCCTTCTTATCAGTTTTTAAATAATCTTCATCACCTCCTGGAGTAACCATATCTAAAATAATTTTGAAACCTGAATTGTTAATGGAACTACCGGTTTCATCACCAACTACTTGTTCTTCATCTAATAATGTGTATTGTTTGTCATTTTGTTTCTTTTCGATGGCATCTTCAATTTCTTTTAATAATAGGTCTAATTGTCTCTCTCTTGATGCTTCTACATATCTGATTTGAATGATTAAAGAGGTAATCATAATTGAGCATACTAATAAACATTCGAGGAAAGCAGATTCTTCGATTTCTACTAAAGTATCCCAGTTTTTGTTGAAGAGGACCAATAATGGACTTGGGAAACCAGTGCCAATGAATTGTTCGATACCAACTACAAAGATCCAAGAACCAAAGAATGAGCTACTAACAAGAATACCAATATCTGGAGCATATAAGAATAATGATGGTAAAATAATTAATGCAGCATATTTGACTACACTACCCCATACATTTCCTAATCCTGGTGCCATTAAATTTGAAATACATAAAGCATGAATTATGGCGATGGCCAAAACTGATACTCTAACAAATTTCATACAAATGAATGAAAATACCAAAGATACTATAACAAAGAGGGCTACTTGTGTGGTGAAACTGAATTCTATTCTTAGTGATAATAAATAAAATAAATAAGCCCCTAAACCTGAGCCAAAGAAACTAAGAGTAGCTTCTTGATATTTTGAACCGAAAGCACATAATCCAAAACCACCTATTAAACAAAACATACCAACAAATTCGTCTGGAGTCATTTTTTAAATTATATATACTATTATAGGTTTTATTATTTACAAAAAAATATTTACAAGATTAAAAAAAACAAACTGATAATTTTTAAAAAAAAAAAAAAAAAAAAGATACAGATAAAATAAAATAAATTTTAATATTAGTTATAAATGATTAAAGTTATATATTTTTAAAAAATATTAATAATACAAACATTAAAATGGAATGTAAATAACTTTAATAATTATTAAAAGTTTAAATCATTCAGAAATAAATTAAAAAAATTAAAAAAAAAAAATTGAAATAAATAATTTAATTTAATTAGAAAAAAAAAAAAATTATTATAATAAAAAAAATTAAATATACATAATTAAGAGTGTGTTAAAAACACAAACTCACTAAAAATAAAATTAACACACTCAAACACACACATAAAAAAGGTATTTTTTTTATTTATTTATTTATTTATTTTTTTAAATTTTTTTATTTTTTTAATTTTTATTTTTTTTTTATTATTTTCATTTTTTTTTTAGTTTTCAAAAAAAAAATAACATTATCACCCCTAACACACACTTTACTAAATGAACGTAAATAATAATAATAATAATAAAAATAACCCTAATAATAATAATAAAGCACACGATAATGATGTTGATTTAAATAGGAGTAATAATGATGATAATTTTAATAATAATAGCATCAAAGAAAGTAAATTGACAACTTTTAAAAAACAATTTCATGAATTAGAACAGCAAAGATTGCAATCAAAATTAGAAAAAAGAAAAATTTCAAATGAAGAGCAAATTGATCAATCAAGCACCACAACAACATCAGAAATTTTACGTTTAATCAACAATATGTCAAATGGTAAATATAGTTTTTTTATTTTTAGATTATAACATTTATTATTTTTTTTCTTTGAATTTCCTTTGTTTTTAAAAACATTCGTAAATTTTATATTTGTAAATTAATTATATTTAAATAAACTTTATATCAACATATATTATAGTATGATCTTTTTTATATATTTAACACTTATTTTTTTTTTTGTAAAAAAACAAAAACTCCTTCCCCCCCTTTTTCAAAAAAAATAACATAAAAAAACACACAAATAAAACACTCGAATCTTTATCTTGTTTTTTTCTTTGATTATTAATCTACAATTTTTTTTATTTTTTAAAGAGATTGAGGAACGTTTAAATCAAATACTCTCAGTTGACAAAGAAAAAATTAAAAGTGAATTTGATTTATTAGAAGAAAAGCTATCCGACATAAATTCAATAACAACTTTAAACTCCCATATATTAACTCAATATGACATAAAATCAATTTTAGATGTAATTATTATTATTATTTATTATTATTTGTTATCTATTTCTAATTTTTTATTTTTCATAGAATATAGAAAATTTAAAAAGACAAATAGAAAAATCAAAAGAAAAAAATTTACCAAAACAAAAACTATCCTTAACAAGAAAAAAACCAACAGCAAATAAAGCATCACCCACAATTACCAATGTTTCATTATCAAATAATATAGAGGATACAAATACTCCAATAACCAACCCAGATAAAGAACCAATATGTAAGAAAACAAATTAAAAAATTATAAAAAAAATTAAAAAACTAATCCATTAAAATTTTATGAAAAAATATATAGTTAGTTCAAGTTTAATTTCAGGATTTAATAATGAAACTCTACACTATCCACCAAAAGAAAACAATATTAATAATAATGAAAATAGTATAAACGATTTATTAATTTCAAATTTAAATAATTGTAAAATTTATTTGGATATGAAATTTTTAACAGCCCTAAAAATAAATAATTTAAATAACTGCACAATAATAGGGTACTCGCCTATTGATGGTTCAATTTTTATAGACAGTTGTAAAGAATCAACATTTGTATTAGTATCAAGACAATTAAGAATTCATTATTGTTTAAACTGTCAATTTAATATTTTTGTAAAAAGTAATCCAATTATCGAAGGTTGTAAAGAAATGAAGTTTTCATCTTTTAACTCATATTTCAAACAACAAGAATCTGAAGGAAATAATCAACAAATTGATTATTCAAGATTCTCAAACTATTCTTTTGATTTAGAAAATAATAATATAGATACCGACAAATGGAAGATGGTGAATGATTTTGATTGGTTACAATCAAGACCATCACCAAATTGGTCAATTTTAAATTAAAAAAAAAATAAAAAAAGCTTTATTTTTAAAAAAAAAAAAAAAAAAATAGTTTATAAATTGATTATGTTGTTCTTGTTATTTTTTTAATTTATGTTGATAATTTCGTTAATGAAATTATTTTTCTTTGTTTTAAATTTTGAAATTTTTTTTGGATTAACTAAAAGGTTTAATTTTTCTTGGTTATCTAGTTCTAAATTTTGAGATATTGTGCTACTAAATTCTGCTATAAATTCAAGATTATCTTTTTCTGATCTTGTAAAATTTGAAATAAGTTGTAGACCATTTTTTATAACCAATTCTAAAAGATGATAAGTTACTGTATTAATTTCTAAATAATCCGCCAATTTTAAGACACCCGATCTATAACTTTTTTCTAAATTATTTACATCCCTACTATCGAGTCTAGCTTGAAGGTATTCGGACAAAATTTCGGTGTGGTTTGCAACAAAATTTTGAATAAATTGGTTAAAATCTCTGATAGCTAAAATAATACCAATTTTTTCTCTTTTAGAAACCCTTAAAGTTTCATTAACTTTATTTCTATAACTATTTGAAAGTATATATCCCTTTAATTGTTCGTGGGTTAATTCGAAATAACAACGCTTGTTACCTTTGTTAAAATTTGCTAGCTCTTCTAATTTTGATCTTTCTGAGGATTTTATCTTGGCAGTATATGCATCACCCTTGGCTAGACCAACAGCTTGGCAAAAATCTTGATATGGGAATGTTAAACAAGATAGACCAATATCATCAGATATAATTTTAGCAATAATTGATAGAATTCTACTGGTATCGTAAATTGATTGACTTCTAATTACAATGAAACCAAATCCAGTTAAAAAATCAATTTCTTTTTTTAAAGTTTCAATTGGTATATTAAATAACTTTAAAAGACCTGAATAGTTTTCTTCATCACCTTCAATTATATAGAATCTTCCCACCAATTTAGTATAGGCCTTCATCTTTATTGTTTGTGTAACGATACGTCCATCTTTAATACTACCTAAAAAATCACTCCAAGTTTTCCTTTCAAAGAGATATGGGTACATCTCGTCCTTGTTTGAGGTTTTTAAAAATACAAAGTCACCAGACGGTAAAGTCCTTTCGATAGCATCAACACCAAATTCTTTAAAATTATTTCTAAAACTGGACCTTTTCTTTTCTGCTGAATCAACTACAATGGTAATTGAGGTTTGTTTAAAATTTGTTTTAAAATTATTTATATTACAAAACTCTTGAAAATCTTTATGAAAATCTTCTAATATGCATGCATATCTGTAGCCCAAATCTCTAATATAAAATTTTTCCTGATCTTCTTCAGGTAAGTTGTCTTCCTCTATATCAGCCTCCTCCACCAAATTTCTATCAACCAATTGCGTAGTAAGCGCTATGATGGGTCTATTATTCGATATAGTAAATTCGAAATCTCTTAAATCCCAGATACTTGTATACTTTTGTGAATGCTTTTCAATGGTGGACAGTGATACCTTTTTATTTATTGTTGTTTTTAATTCTTTTAAACCAAGCAATAGACTATACTGGAGTCCAAAAGCCGAATCACTCCAATCAGCATATCTAGATCTAACTTTGAATCTCTGAGGCAATGGTGCCTCTAGTTTTAATAGAGGTGGTAAATAATTTTGTTTTAATTTCTTTTTTTCATTATACACTTTATCTGAAAAAAGTGGTCTATTTAATATACTATCTATCTTTTGTATTTTATTAATGGGTTTACTATTATTATCATGTTTAATTGGAGATATGTTATATAATGGTGATGTTGGCATTATTGGTGAACCATTGACTGATGAGTCCGAGAAAAACGATGATGATGAATTTGAAATTTGTTTTCTTTTATTTATTGCTGATGAATTTAAGCTTAAATTCTGATATGAGAAAATTTCATCACTTTCACTTTCGATTGATAATTTACTTTGAATTGGTAGCTGTTTAATATTATTTTGTAATTTTGGAGATTGTGATTGTGATTGTGATTGTGATTGTGATTGTGACTGTGACTGTGACTGTGACTGTGACTGTGACTGTGATTGTGATTGTGATTGTGTTTTTGATTCAAAATAGTCGTAATTATCATCATCATCATCATCAAGATTAATACTATTCCTAATATTGAAATTATTGAAATTATTATTAAAACTACTATTAAAACTACTATTTAAACTACTATTTAAACTTCTATTTAAACTATTATTAAAACTACTATTTAAACTACTATTTAAACTACTATTTAAACTACTATTCAAACTATTATTAAAACTATTATTTAAACTATTCTTTGAACTTTTTAAACCACTATTACTATTAAAACTATCATCAGATGGTATATTTAATGAATGTTTATTATTAGACTTTTTACTATCGATATTTTCTTCGTTATCATCAATTATAATACAATCTGATTGTGTAAAGATTGTTTTTGGTTGTGATAACATCACTTCGTCATTATAAGTAGTTGAATAATTATTTTTATTTGGCGATGTAGTTGTGGTAGTAGTTGTGGTAGTATTTATATTTCTATACCCATTATTATTATTATTTTGGCTATAATTATTTATATTAAATGGATTTCTATTATAAACCCTACAAATAAAGCTATCAAGTGGATCCTGCTTTTGTTCATCTTGATTTGAATATTCTGAAATTTCTTTTTCAAAATGTTTACCTGTAGAAACTAAAAATAAATGAAAAAAATTTTAATATCTAAAAAAAATATTATATTTAATTTTCTTTTATATACTTTTGTGTTTTTGCAATAATAGCTTTAGTCTTGTATATGTGGTATCAACATCGAAATATTCTTCAAAATCTAAAACTCTTAACTTTTTTCTTAATTGTGGTATTTGGGCTATGGCTTGGGGTGGTGGTTTATGCAAGATCCCTCGGTGTTCCTCAACAATTAATTTTCCTATATACCCAAGGATTGTCGATTCTATAGGGAACAATGTAGAATCTATTATATCATCTTGCTGAATACTATAATCTTGAAAATATTTGTGTAAATTTAATTTATTTGTACCTTTGAAAAAAACTATTGGTGATTCCATTGGCGGCACATAATTTTTTAATACATTTATTTTTGAATCATTTGAAACTTCCACCCTTTTGACGCCCTCTTTTCCATCGTAATAGTTGTAGGTTCTTAAAAATATATAAAACGCCATTGTTTAAGTCCCTATTGCTATAAATGAAAATAATAAAAAATTAAAAAATTAAAAAAATTAGAAAAATTTTAAAATAATTAATTAAAATTAAAATAAAAATAAAAAAATAATTACCCCCCTCTTTAATTATTTATAAAAATGATATAAAAGTAAAGATTTTATTTTAAATTTTGAATATGTCTAAATAACAATAAAAACAAACAATATTATTAAATTATTATTAAAAAAAACAATGAATAGATTATTAGGATTATTATTTTTCAAAGATAGTAATCTTAATATAAAAAGATTTGAATATTATTTTATTTTTCCTTTTATTTTTTTTTGACTTCTTTTTTTATAAATAAAATTTTTAATTTTGATTTAAACTATTCCAGAAGTGGATCAAATTTTAAAAAATTTTAATTAAACATTTCATTTATATATTTATATAATTTAAAAAAAAAAAAAAAATTATAAAAAAAAAATTATAAAAAAAATATTTTTTTTTTTTTTTTTTTTTTTTAAAATTTTTTTAAAAATTTTTTTTATTTTTCATTTTTTAAAATTTTTTAAATAAATAAAAAACAAAGAGATAGAACGAACTCTATATTGAGCCACAACACAATATTAAGAGGAACACAGATAATCAGGTTTTAATAATACAGGTTAGAATAACTTATAAAACAAAGAAAAAATAAAAAATATTTTTTTTTTTTTTTTTTAAATTAAAACCACTCAAAAAAAACAAATAAATAAAAATAATACATACAAACATACAGTTTTTTTTTAAGATATATAATAAAGAATAACTTTTAAAATGTCAGACGAAGATAATTCATGCCCACTTTGTTTGGATGAATTATCTAAAGCTGATAGAAAATTTAGGCCATGTCCATGTGGTTATCAAGTAAGTATCTATTCAAGTTATTTTTTTAATATAACATTGGTTTTATCGTTCATTATAGAAACAAGTTTATAATAATAGTAATAACATAATAATCAATATCATAATCAGCGATAATCAATATAAATAAAAATAATTTTAGTTTTTTACAAGCAAAAAAAATAAAAATAAAAAACAATCAATCAATCAATCAATATAAATGGAGGAGAAAGAAAGAAACTAATTCAATTATATTTTTTCTTTTAGATTTGTGTTTTTTGTTTTGAACGTATAAGAGAATCAGAATCAAACAAATGCCCAGCATGCAGAAAGACCTATGATTCGGAAAATTTTGCAAATATTTCATCAGACGAAGATTCATCATCAGAGGATGATTCAGAAGACGAGTATGTATTATTACTATTAATTTTTAAGAATACAGATACATATTTTTTTTTTTTTGATTTCTCTCGTCATATAAAATATTTTTATGATGATCATTATGAAAAAAAAAAAAATTCCAAAAAAAATTCCAAAAAAAAATTTTAAATTTTTTTATGTGGGTCACACAAAAATAGTTTTTAGGGATCATATTAACTAATTGACGATTTATTTATTTTTTTTTTTTTATAGTCGTAAAAGAGGAAGAAAATATAGTAATAGTAATAGTAGTGCATCAAATAATAGTCTCGAATATGCAAAACGTGGTGATAAACCATTAAATACAGTTAGGGTTATCCAAAGAAATTTAGTTTATGTTACAAATTTAGCTTTATCAATCGCAAAACCAGAGGTAAGTCATCTATTTTTATTTTTAAATTAATATAATAGATATTAATATCTTTTATTATTTAATAGTTATTAAAGAAAAATGAATATTTTGGACAATATGGTAAAATTTTAAAAATTGTAATAAATAAAAATAATATATATAATGTTAATTCACCACATGGTGCATGTGTGAGTGCATACATAACATATCAAAGAAAAGAAGATGCGTTGGTTGCAATTCAAACTATCGATGGTGCAACTATCGAAGGTAGGGTTTTACGTGCTTCATTTGGTACCACAAAATATTGCAGCTATTTCCTTAGAAAACTGCCATGTAACAACCCAGATTGTATGTACCTTCATGAACTAGGTCAAGAAGATGATAGTTATTCAAAAGAAGATATTACATCAAAGTAAGTATAAATTAACAAAAAAAATAAAAAATAATAAAAAAAATAATTAATTTTTATTTTGTTTTAATAGCTCTGTTTATAAACCAAAACCAAATCAACCAACATGGAGAGATTCAAGCGATAAAGTTTTATCACCAAACTCATTATCATCATCAACATCATCAGCAACAGCTACTTCGTTATCATCATCAACAAACGCAACTTCTAATCAACCAACTTCTTTAAATGTTTCATTTGTAAGTTTTTTAAATATCACCATCATTATTATTTAATTTAATTACTATTATTTATTAACGTTATTATTTTATTTTAGAAAACTTGGAATATTCAAAATAGTAGCAGCCCACAAGTTCCAGCAACAGCACTAAATCCATTAGAATGGCCATCAGCAAACGACTCTATAAGTATGGCTCCAACATCAACATCACCACCATTACCATTATCAAAATCACAAGAAAGACCATTTTTACCAGCCACTGCGTCGTGGGGATCGGGTATTAGTAAACCAGTACCAAAAAGCTATCAAGATGATTTCCCAGAACCAAACTTTTCATGTGATG